CAACACTTTTAATGAGCTGTCAGATTGGTGCCCTGCTGTCTTCTGCACTGTACACTAATATAAAAATCACCCTGCATTAAATAGATTGATCGCAGTCACTCGTGTAGCTTTAGCATAACTATTTGTGGCATTGTAACCCATCATGCAAGACTGGTATTATGCTGACCGAAAAATAGGTGTGCAGCTAATTAGGGCTGTACAGACTTTGCTTGGATTGGCATCCCTTCGATTCAAAACCAGTACTCGCACAGAGCTCTGTTTCCATCTGCAAAGCCAAATACAAACACCTGCCCAGTTCTGGTCCTGCAATGTAACAGGGGCAGACATGCTGCCCTGCAAACTGTTATACTGCACAGGCATCACAAAGATCAGACCACTGGAGTAGTCTTGTGGTGTCTAATGCTGTCCTCTTCTTTCATTGCTGATCAGCAGAGTATCTCTTTAGTGCACCTACTATAGATTCATGTCAGTATTCTGAATGTTTCAGATAGGTAAGAGAACAATGCACACAAAGACTAAGGTTGATGGACCAACTTACAGTGTATATAAATGCAAACCATCAACATCTAGGCAAGGGGGAGATGGGTTCATCCATCTAATAGCAATAGCCTTAAGAGCCATGAATAATGCTTCCCATAGGAGTATTCTGTTGTAGTGTGGTCAGTGTTCATTGTGCAGTAAACACACAAAAAAAGCAAATGTCAGGCATGCAGGAAGCTGAAGGACTTAATAGGGTAGCAAGGAAAACAGTCACTTGCTTCCACAAATCTGCTATGACCAGGTAACTCCAGGGGAGGTACTTAAAATCAGCTTACCAGGAGCATTTAATACTATCATTGACTAGGTGTGTTTCTTGTAGGCAAATTACCATGGCTTGCTGAATCATGGCCCTTTTCAGTGGAGTGCCCCTACTGCTATTATTCCGAATGTGAGAGGCCCACATCTATCACACGCTGTTACTCTCCATAATAAATATGAGTCAGAGGAAGTATAAGCCCTAAGCCAGTAATCATTTACTTTAGATGTAAAGGACATTAATTGAAAACTGTCAAAAAAAAATGCCTAACCTGGAAGCTAAGAAATGTATCACGAACCAAGTAAAATATCATAACTACCTGAACATACCAACAGGTATTACCTGCATGAACATTACACATGCGTGTAGGTAATCTGCCATGATGTGAGCATATGTAAATAAACTACCTTTAATTAGTCTCTTGACCTACTGAAATTGGTAATAGTTATGCAGGAAACATTTGATACAGTAACCTTGGGATTCCGTAAACCAGAGAAGTATAACAGCCAGTGGCTGACTTCTAGTGGCCAATTGGGGACAACTGCCAATTGGGGACAACTGCAAGGTTTGCAGCAGTAGTGTATGGTCTGTAAAGCCGCAGCAAAGGCACCAGAGAGGAGGGCGACAAGTGGGCATATCAGGGGAATAAACGGCCATATTAGAGACATGGATAACAGTCTGGTTAGAATATGGAGAATGAAACATAGTAGGGTTACCAACACGTTTCCATGGTGAGTTTAACGAGTACTCAGGGAGGCATAGCATTCCCATTAAGTGTCCCAAAGAAATAACAGGGAGCAAATGATAGGATATACCATGAAATAGGGAGAATTCCAGTGCTTGCCTCATAATTTACAGATTATGCATGTAGTCATCAAAGGATCCCAGATGCAACAGTCTCAGGTTGGATGTTTGGTGCAGAGCCAGTTCATTGCATGTTCAGGGACAGTAATACATGCCCTTTGCTATTTTCAAGGACCTACAATCTTGCTTGATAGTCCATAAAGTAAATAAAGCCTTTTTCTCTGAGATCACATTTGACCTCAATAAAGGTAGCTCCGTGCTTTTGTAATTCCATGGAAAACAATGGTATTCTCAAAAACAAGAATATTGCTTTTCTGTCGGGCTTTCCTTAGAATGGTCCTTGCAATTTAGCAGTCTATCAAGGACAGGCCTTGGTGAAGTACCTGGAGTTTGGGGTTTAGCAGGCAACCTATGCAAGCTTTTGACTGCAGAGCCCATAAAAGACTGTGCACCAGGGAAAGTACTTTTCAACCATTTGTCAAAAAAAGGTGTCAGGAGATTGTCCCTCTGCCTTTTTTGGGAGCCCTGTAACATGAATATTATTCCGTCTTCGGGATAGGGAAAAGTCATCATCCAAGAAAGAAATCCTGTTCTCCATCTCAATGACGCTCCAATTTTTTGTAGTGTTTTGTCTTAGTGAATAATTCCTATATCAGTCTTAACCTCATCTACCTTCCCTGCCAGAGAGCATGTTATAATGGCAGCAATACCTGGTCATTTACCTAGAAGTTGTTTATGCATTCCCCATTGCAGACATGCCCAGCCTCTTGGTATTGTGCAAACCATTGTTAGGATGAAAGAGGACTCTGACCTTCATCTTGGTACTCCATCCTTCCAAACTCTTTCAGCCGTTTGGCAGTGGCGTGCTGACGGCTATTACTCATGGCAGGTCAGGCAGGGTGCGCTGGTCACAAAAAGCTGTTCTTTACATCTGGATTTGTATTAGACTGATGGGATGGATGAGGATTTGTGGGGCTCTTTCAGCACAACTCACTCAAAAGCAGCCACCCATGCTGACTGTTAGCCACACCCCTTGGCAGCCCTGTTTTTAGCATCGGTTTAGTCCATCTTTTGGATTATGTGGGAGAAAATAAAACTTGCATGATACATCTGTTGCCAGATCAATGCCAGAATGTTGTCCAAGCAAATAGTCCAGAGCAGTCTAAAAACACGCTGAATATTAGCAAATTACTTTTCATTGCCAATGGTTGTGGGTTTATGGGTGCCTGTATCACAAGGACAATTGACCCTGGATATTTTGCAAGCGGTGTACAAGGCAACTAGTGTCAGGGATGTCAGGCATTGTTTGAAGAACGTAATAAAGCAGGATTGTGGAAGAAGAGCATACTTGTAGATGCCAGTTTGACAAATGCAATGATGATTTATTTTGATTGTAAATAATGCATGCCCTATGTGTTTTTTTTTACATCTGCATTATAAGCTATACTGATATTACCCTTCTGCCGGGTATCATATTGGTGTTTCTTACTGTGTCAGGGGTTATAATTTATTAAGAGTCAAACCATTTTTAAGTTAGTCAAGTAGACTGGGGAAGGTTAGAATGGTTGCTAACTTTTTAACTGTATGCAGCTGTACATGGGTATACACAGGAATTATAAACATGCACATGTGTATGGATGAATAGTCTGCGTTCAGAGGTGTTTATGTAAGTCCAGCATATCCCTGTGTATAGTCTTCTGTGGCTGCACCTGTAGCTCCCCGGTGGTGAGTACATGCTAGAATTTATCACTGTTCTGCCACAAGCAACCATGTGCATGAGCTCTTAGAGATCCAGTTGCCACCACATATGTAATAGCCACATTGCAATGCAGTTAATCAGATCTGCTTCAATCATCTCCGCTGCACATACTATAGTGAAGTGCTTATTATCAGGCAGCTCCACTCTGCCTTCTTAGAGGTGACTTTGACTATGTTTGCTGACTTTGCTCATGATGAATCTACGGATGGAACCCTTTCCTGCTTTTCTAGGTGAAAGATAAAGAGAAGCAGTGTCACTGTGGTTACATTTCTAGGTTTATTATTTTCCCCTCACCAAATATCATCTTGTTCTCTGTCAGTGCTTCTCTTAACATTTTATAGTAGGAACTATCTCTCCATTCCTCGCTGCATTAATAAAAAAGCTAAGCAGATACGGGCTGCCTTATCCTATAAATCAGCCTGATGCTGGAGTAATTTAGGAGCAAAGCCTTATCTCAGAGGTGAGCGAGATGAGGTGAATGGGACCCAAAGGAGTTCCCTTATGTCGCTCTGTGTATTTTGTGTAAAATGTCTTCGGTAATAAAAAACCATCATATATTCGCCACTGTCATTCAGCGAACAATGAAGCAGGAAATTAGTAAACCGCAGCAGGAAAATCAGATTCTATTCTAGGGCTTAACAGTGTTATACATGCAGCATCTAAAATGGCAGAATCCCAATGAACTCTTCCGTCTATGTGATGCCATGCACCGTTTTTCTATATACACGGTACAATTATACTTTTTACCACCCTTAGCCACGTTGACAGCAGAATAAGGCACTTTCTTTGTACAGCAACCAATCACACTGAAAATTGAACTGAATATTAGGTTAGAGAATCAGCAGTTATGTGGCCATGAATGCAAAGAGCTTTCTAAAGCTTTTAGTGCATTATTGGTTGGCAACCTTTAAATTAGTATGTCTATAATAATGAAATAGAAGAGTGTATTTGTTGCCTATAGCAGCCTGTGTGGTGTAGGCTTTCATTTAAAACATGCACTGCAAATCTGACAGCTGCATTTATTTGTTTGCCGTGGTTTACAGACATTTTATTTCTTTCAGTTTTTGTAAGGCAGTGTCAAGGCGAGTGGATCATGCATTACAGTACAGTTGTAAATTTAACATAGTATCTCTAGAAAAGTCATGTTCTCGAATGAAAATCTCAACATTAGATTTCCCCTGCAGTGTTAGTTTAGAATGTCCAGCACAGAGAAACAAGTATTTGTATATTTCTCATAAGTCACAAACCTAGTTGTCATTATTCATCCCCACAGAGCTACCTCCTCATGTATCACTGGTCCCTCCCTATTAGATTGTAAGCCGTCACGGGCAGGGTCCTCCATACCATCTTGTCTTGAATTGTATTGTAATGTCTTCCTTATATTGTAAAGTGTTGCACAAACTGCTGGCGCTATATAAATCCTGTATAATAATAATAATAATAGTAATAATGAACAATTAACAGAAAACATAAGAACACACTTATGAAGTGCTGTAATGGGGGATTTATAGTGTAACCTTCAGGAAAATGCAGGGGTTAGCTTTGTCATATGCTTTACAACATGTCAGTTATCAATCTTTTACTAGTGTGTTTGCTTTAGAATGAATTATTAAAGCCCTTCTGGCTTCTGTCTCTCTTTAGGTGTTCACGAGGTACGGGAAATGTTACATGTTCAATTCTGGACAAGACGGTCGGCCTCTGCTCACCACTGTGAAAGGAGGGACAGGAAATGGCTTAGAAATCATGTTGGACATCCAGCAAGATGAGTATCTACCAATCTGGGGAGAGACTGGTGAGTACTAGGGATTTCCATAACACAATTCTTCCATGCAAAACAAAAGGCATTCACATGTCTCCACATTGCTTAGCATCCAGCTGAGTGTCCATAATAGCTGTTTTATAGGAGAGATACAGCCAATAATAAATAATCATTAATACAATTTCCATATGAATGTTTCAAGAATTTGGTATCTTGGCTATAGAGGTGCCATTAGGGCAGTGTACCTATGGGTTTTCAGAGCTGTAAAGCTTGGATATCTAATATAATTAGCACAATGTAATGTGGGAAAGCAAAGTGCTTCCACATATGTGGCAGTACCTAGGCCCCCCTTTTTCTTTCAGCCACATGGATGCCCATTAGGGCTTTGACATGTTGGAAGCATATCTCACCTACTCTGCAAAATCTACAGGTGAAACTCGAATAATTAGAATATCGCGCAGAAGTTCATTTATTTCACTAATGCAACTTAAAAGGTGAAACTAATATATGAGATAGACTCATTACATGCAAAGCAAGATAGTTCAAGCCGTGATTTGTCAAAATTGTGATGATTATGGCTTACAGCTCATGAAAACCCCAAATCCACAATCTCAGAAAATTAGAATATTGTGAAAAGGTGCAATATTCTAGGCTCAAAGTGTCCCACTCTAATCAGCTAATTAAGCCATAAGACCTGCAAAGGGTTCCTGAGCCTTTAAATGGTCTCTCAGTCTGGTTCAGTAGGAATCACAATCATGGGAAAGACTGCTGACCTGACAGTTGTGCAGAAAACCATCATTGACACCCTCTATAAGGAGGGAAAGCCTCAAAAGGTAATTGCAAAAGAAGTTGGATGTTCCCAAAGTGCTGTATCAAAGCACATTAATAGAAAGTTATGTGGAAGTGAAAAGTGTGGAAGAAAAAGGTGCACAACTGGGATCAGGAATTCTGACTTTGGCCTTATTTGCAGCCTACTGTTCTTGTTACTTTGGCTGCTGAAAGGGGGAAGCAGATGGAGTTGAGCTACTAAGAGAAGGACTTAGGCAACTTAAAGTGATACTAAACTCAGGAGTCAAATCTTTCAAATGCATCCAAGTGCGTTAACTATTAACATAAACATATCTTATTTGTGGATCACTCGGCTGTAGATCCTCAAATCATCTCTGAATTAGTGCCGACACTGTCCTTCCTTCTGAAGGGGGGCTACTCTTGTTCCCCATGGTCCCTGTGTGTGTTGTAAAGTAGTCACCACTCTAAACTCACTCCCGTGACGGACTACAATCTCAGTTAGTTTACTAATTTGTGTTGACATTGTAGTCCATAAAGGGAACGAGCTTTGGAAGGAAGGACAGTGTGTCAGCATGAATTCAGAGATGATTTGAGGATCTACAGTGAGTAATACACAATATAAGATACATTTTTGTTCATAGTTTAGGTACTTGAATGTATTTTTTTTTTAATCAGATAGTTTGTTATTATTTTCTTATTGTTCAGATACAAAAGAAAATAAAAGGTGTACAAAATACAATATAAAACAGACTGTTAAGCCAACAGCAAAACATATGGAATAATCGCCACAATTCAGACAATACAGAAGTGTTATGTATACAATATACTATACTCAACCAACACCTTCCGATGGGGCCAGAGCAATACAAAAACATTCTTGAATGTATTTTTAAGATTTAAACTCCCGAGTAAAATGTCACTTTAAGGGACTCTGCTGGGAATTTTGAGGAAAAATTGCTCCACAATGCCTGCAGCTACAGAGGCCAATTAGGACCTATTTTAATGCTTATAAAAGTGTTTGTTAAAATATGTAAATACTCGAATGTCCACATCCTGGCCTTTTCCCTTTTAGTGGTGCATTAAACTGATTCAAAGCAAATAACTGGTATTGCAAGACAACTTTGCTGCTTATTTTATATCTCTCCTCCTCTGAGATGATTACTTTGTCTTTTTTTTTGCTGTGTAGAAGTGTAACACAGTGAAACTGTTTTTTTACGATATTGCTATTGCTGTCTCTGTTATAGCTCTGTACTTTGATTTGTTACTGGTTCAGCTGCACAAGGATACAAGAAGTTTCTTAGGGAATATATGTGGTAATAAAAAAGGAGGTGAAGGCCAAGATGCAGGTTTGCACGCATTGTGTGGAACATAGAATATTATGCTTTTATTGTATGTTTCTCTTATGATACTTGTAACTATGTGGGTAGATGATGTAGCCACAGAGGGATTTGGAAATAAAAAGCAGCCCATGGTGGGGAAGTTTGCAACAAAACAGCTCAGAATTGTTCTGGTAATATTGTTATTTTCTATCTTTGATAGTTTGATTAAAAGGATTTTATTTTGTACAGCGCTAGAAAGTTATTTTGAAGGACCTCCTTCAGCTTGCTTGGCACTGACAAATGTCAATGCCCACACTCTCAGCAGTTGCCTCTCTAAAATAGCTGCCCCCCTAGTGGCTTTTATTACAGGAAACATGACCTATAGAGGTGGCTGTCAAGATACATGTTGTGTGTGAAGGATGGAGAGAGCTGTCCAGACTGGCAAAACATCAAAGCATTTCCATCTGTCCTTGGGAAGAACGGGTACAGGCCATATATCACATGAGGGGAGCTTGTGATTCATACCGACATTTGATGTGATCAGTATCTGCCTGTTTCATTTGTACATTTTGTTTTTGATTTATATCTAATTTGTGTAGAAAGTCTAATTCTTTTGTGCTTGTAGTTTGTCCTTGGAGCAGAATTTTAAGAGAATGAGTGCCAACTTGGGCTATGCAACAATTTCAGTGTTGAGTCTTAAAGGAAACCTTTCCTGAGAAATGTAAGGTTTGCCCCTATTTTGTATTGTCCTATTGGAGAAGGTTGCATACTACGTGTATCAACTTACCAGTGTATAAATCACAATATGGATAGCCCTAATCATTAGACACAAGTTCCTATATACTTATAATTTTGCTATTGTAATAAAAACTAATGTGGTCAGACGTTCTTACCCTTCCTCACCGATAAAAATTTGTTTTTGTCTGTGTTCTGACAGGAGTGATGAGAAATATTCCTAACATAGACACAGCTGGTAATAAAACTCTGAACAGGGGTCTATCTCTTCCACACTTTAAAAGCTAAAAACTTTCTATTCCTTTTTGGATAAAGTTTGCACTTAAAAGTAGATATAACCCATAAATGAATGAGATGTTCCATAATTGTACAATATGTACCCACATTTTCTTTTGGGACTGCATTTGGCAGGGTGACCGTGCGGGAGACAATTTATAAGACTGGGACAGAATGTTGTCATCCTATAACAGGCAGTCTCTGAATGAGAACGTTCATGGCAGGATTACCAGTTTTGCAGATTTAAAAAAAATATACCAGATGCTAGACTGGTCCATTTGGACCAGCAGTAAACTGGTGGCCAGCACTCTGTTTAACAAAAGTAGCAAGGCTATTAAGAGCAATGTCAACTTTCTCTTAGGAAAGTGGTATCAGCCATACATTGCAGCTTAAACCTATAAGTAGCTTATCAAAACACATACACAGGTAGACGTAATATTAACCAGTTGACATCCGGGGTGTTAAACCCCCTTCCCATCCAGGCCATTTTTCAGTATTCAGCGCTGCGGTTCTTTGACTGACATTTATTCCGTCATGCAGTGCTGTACTGAAATTCATTTTATACCCTTTTTTGGGGACACATTGAGCTTTATTTTGGTGTTATTTAATCACCACTGGGGTTTTTATTTTTTAATATATTAAGGAAAAATTACAGAATTAAAAAAAAAACAGTTTCCCCTATATTAAATTCTAAAACATTTATAATTACCCAATTTTTTGGTAAAATGTAAAAGACGGGGTCACGTCGGGTAAAAAGACACCAAACATGTCAAGCCTTAAAATTGCGCACGCGCGCGCGAAACCTCAAAAAAACTACATTACCCCAAATTGGCCATAGGCGACGCATTAAAAGCTTTTACCGCTCATCAGTTTAGTGTTATCAGTGATTGATGGCCCTAAAATGATTGCTCTCACTGCGACGTTCGCTTCAATATGTAACATGTGTAGCGCAATTGTCATTTTCGCGTGCTGGCGCATGCTACGCGTATTTACGTTTATATGTGCGTAAACGAAGGGGAGGGGACTTAAACATTAGGGGGGGTTCCTTTTTTTATTTGTGACTTTTATTTTTTTAAACTTTTTTTGTTTGTGACTTTTATTTTTTTTAACTTTTTTTATTTATATAGATTTTTTTTTTACACTTATTGTTATTGCTATTACATAGGGGGATACCATCCCCCTATATAATAGCACAGGTACACTGACAGGTCCTCTTTATGGAGACATTAGGGGTCTCTAGACCCCTAATGTCACCTGGAGACCCCATAAGAAGCTGATGAAGCACAGATTTGCTTCATCAGCTTCTTCTCTCTGACTGACAGGTGAATGCGGAAGTGATGTAATACACATCACTTCTGCATTCACACTACAGAGGGAGAACAGCAAGGAGCTGATCTCCCTCCCTCCCTCCTCCTCCTGACGCCCTCCCGAGCCAATCCCGGGCCGCAGATGGGCTAGCGGATCCCGGGATTAAAGGTGAGGGGTCAGGAGGGTGGAGTGGTGGCACTAGCGAACGGGGGGGGCGATCCGAAAATCATGCCGTACAACCGATCTATAGAGCCGCTGATCGGTTGTATGTGAAACATCCGTTAACGGCTGTAGAAACGAGCGGGTCTTTCCTGCCCGTGCGCGCGAGCAGGAAAAAAATGCCGTCTGGACACGTCAACCCGCGGATGCGAGTCTGCCGTCTGTCCGTTTTTTCTTAAGGGAGCTAAAAGGACAAAAGGGAAATATGTCCCCAAATATCCTTGGATATACATTGAGGGGAATGTATCAAAACTGGAGCAGACACAATCTGAAGCAGCTGTGCATGGCAGTTAAGATTTGAACATGGAAGAGAGAAGCTGATTGGTTGCCATGCACAGCTGCTCCAGATTTTGTCTGCTCCAGTTTTGATAAATCCCCCCATTATAT